CAATCATAACAAAGAATGTGTTTCTTGATAAAGTTTACATGAAATAATTCGCATAATGTCCGTGTGCCAAACCCACTGTGGTGTTAAGAATTCTCTATGACTTTGGAATCATCGCATTCGGCATTTAGTCCTTCAGAGCTTAAAGCAACTTATGACCGTTTTGACTCTTCAAGTCCATTCCACTACTTTAAGCATTAAGAGTTGAGATCTATTGGTGATGTTTCATCAACTACACCATTCATATATATATTTGAGATATAATAACTGCAATTTGTTGATTGCTCGCAAAATGTAAGTGTGCATAATATTCCGGATGGAATGGCCTACAATTTGATAAAATGATGATCTTCGTAAAGAAAGCGGATTTCCACCATTGCTCTACTCGAACATAACTAAGCAGTTCAAACGCCGATCAAGTCAATATGGTGTGCCCTCTGACTTAGAAAGCGCATCTGTTTTCATTTCCATTTAAGTAGTGACCAAAGAAACAAATTTCCTCATCTTAATTGCAGAGTATTGCCACAAATGCTTTCCTCTTTTTGTGATCTTATTAAATTCATTTTCTTCGTTTACATAAGGGGCCAATGAAAAATGAGCTCGTGGGGTAAATAAAACTGACCAGGGTGAATGCTGCTCGAATCAAGGTCTTCTCGACCAATCACATAACTTCAAGATTGTTAAATGAATGCAACAGAGTGAATGATATAAATTGCAATTTATTTACCCAATTTTGCACGAGCAATGTTTCATGAGGTGGCTCTTTTATCCCCATATTGCCAGAAATGAGTGTGGAGTTAATGGGATCAAAAATTGAATTGAAACCAAACTGACGTTGTTCCAAGGATAACTTGACAGCTTAATAAGTTTAAGTCATTAGCTTCCTATTCCCACACCTATGACTTTGCAGTTAAGACCTTTCGTCTAAGCTCAACAATCAAAACATGTACTAGCTGACAGAATGGAACAGTTTCATGTGCATTCCCTTCCACAGATTTGCTCGATTCAAATAAAGCACGTGTGATGAGGGTATTGGCTATTTGAGAAGGAAAATGTGCCATTAGGAAGTACTCATCTCTAAGACGACTCCCTGATACTGTGGTATCAATGTCCTTAATTGCTGTCTCCTAGATGAACTCCCTAATTGACATTCAACTCGTATGAACAACCACCCATCTCACCAAGCAAACACCGTTCATTAAGTAAAATTAATGCAAACCCACTTCTAGTCTAGATCTCAGCAGTAAAGCACCAATTACAAATTTGCATATTTTATTACAAGGTGTACAAAAAGCATTGTTACAAATTGTGTAGAGTGTTAATTGATTAAAAAACAAAAGCAACGATTGAGGAGCCCTTGGATCAACGACATAGGTGATGTGATTAGGGGGTTTCATGGAACTGCTTTCGGATCGGCACCCATTCACAGTGTTCGTTAAACTCCAGACTTGGCGACCTCGACAAAATACTGTCTTCATCCGAATGAAACGAGATACTTTCATGGCTTTTAGGTCTTGAAGCGACGATGTCGTTGTCCACTTCGGAGGGAGCACGTGGTCCACCAACTATGGAATCATCGTTGATGTTTCCCACCTGTGGCAGTTGCTGAGGTGAATTCTCCTCGTGGAGGAAGTGGAATGGGGGAGTGAGTTTGAGATTCTCCACCATTTGCCAGTCCACGTCTTCGAAGAAGTTCAATTGTTTGACCTCACAAATGGCCGGACGCAGTCTATAGTCTTCACGGAAGCATCGAGTAAAGAACAGTTGGAAGGGATTTGTGAGATTAGCCAAGAAAGGCTTATACCACGTTCCGGATTTTGTGTTTCCCAATTGGACCCTTGTCACCCTCAACATTCTGGCACTGACTAGATCACCTATCACAGCAGCCATACTCCACACATCCGATTTCTTCGTGCAAGTCATTCTCTTCAAAATCTCAGGAGCTACATAGCCTGGCGTTCCACCAGCATAGTTTCTGTAGTTAGGATCACCGCGCACTGATTGGTCCACGGCAAAATCGAAGTCGGCGATCATGATATGGCCGGTGTGGTAGGGAAAGATATTCTCCGGTTTGATATCACAATGCACAATGTCCAGTGAGTGGAGATGCTCCAAGCCACAGATGAGCTCACAAGCATAGAATTTGGCCTGTTCTTCTGTCATTCCACCACATTTGACTGAGAGATCAAAGAGGTCCATTCAACAACCACTACTCAACAGGAAAGCGGAATAACCTCGCAATTCCATGGACTCGAAGTAGGTGATAACGAATGGGGGCTGATTGGTTGCTGTGGCGATGCGTCTCAACATGTACTCTTCGCAAAGAATATGCTCAACCGTCTTTGGATCGAACCTGGTAAACAGCTTCACGGCGTGTTTCCCACCGACTCCACCACTATCCACCCTCTTCGTCTCATATATCCTCAAAAAACGACCTTTTTCTATTACTTTCACAAACTCTAAGTCACACGACGCCATTACGCACATGATCAACTAGACAAATAACAATTGAGCAATGCGCTATATACACCCCTCCTTGTTAAACGAACATTTAAACAAACTTACTTTAATTATTAAAAATCATTAATTTAGCAATATTTTAAATTTATAAATATGATATATTAATTGTAAGTTATAAATACATTATTTATTAATTATAAAGGAGAAAAGGAGGTAAGAATATTGACGTCTTAATTACACTGGATTCTCTCATTTCGCACTCTCTCAACCACGTCGCCATTCGGAGTGATCAGATACCTTACAAGAATGAAAAGCACAGAAGAGAGTCCACACCATCACAACCACCACCACCACCAAAGAATGAATTGTCGACATTCTGGAATTTGCTGTCAATTAATTTCCACTTTGCCGAAATTGCGGAAATTGAACTTGATCATTTTCATAATGACGACCAGTTGTGAAATTTGAAATAATAAATCAAATAAAATGTGAGTAAGTAAGACATTGATCAGGAGAGAATTCAAGACCTCAGTGTGCAATGAACTTAAAGCTCGAACAGAGGAGAAACAGTGGACAGTGACACTCTCCGACATACCCGACTGGCCAAGAATTGAAGCCGTTGCTGAGTTTAGACTACGTACCGGACACGATTGCTTGGCAAAACACCTTCACAGATCGGGAGTTTACACTCAACCCACATGCCCTCTATGTAACCTACAGGAGGAAATGGAGAAGACCCACCTGATTCGGTGTCTAGCCCTAAAGGCAACGACAGAAACTCAGAGATACTGGGAAGCCAGAAGGCAACTAGTGAACGACTATTGATTTACTGCTTTAGATGCACCCACCCCCTCCTCCCATAGAGAAAGCTGAAGTTAAATAAGGAGCTAATGATAAAAATCATAAAGCCTGATATTTGAAATAAAAGGAGGAGACATCAAATTGGCTGAAAAGCTTCACTTAGGAATTTATTCTTGTCCCCTGCCGAACTCTATTTGATAAAGACATCTCGATTGTTTTTATTAAGTGTGGTCGGCACTTGCCAACATGGCATCAATCGCGGGGTTTGGTTGCAATACATAAGAAATGCTTGTTTTCCCTCATCACTAAGAAAGCCATGTTATCTACTAAGGCAACCCGAGCTGTGATTACTGAATTGCCTTGATATTCCATCCCCGAGACTTAATTATAGGTTGCGCCTTGTTGGAATGGAGAAGATGAGTGGGAATTGCGTCTCTTCGAGGGGTGCAGAAGACGTTGAGAACATGTAAAGGAATCTTGTCTCCTTCAAATTGTCAGACGTAATCGTAATGAAGAAAATACGTTAGATGAGTGTTTGAGGGTTTTCAAAGTGTTGTTAGCCGAGCTGATCTGTCAAGTCAGTCTTTCTTTTTCCACGGTTATTCCACTAGTTTCTGTCTGGTTGAGTTAAATAAGCAAAATCTGCGTTGGTACTGGTTAGGAAACGTGTAAGATCCAAATATGCCAATGTGATATCGAGAAATCATTGGACAAGATTAAAAGCAATTCAAAACTCTTTGCCAATGCTATTGCTAATTTGAACACGTATACGGGCATCACAATTGATGTTGCCAGTCAACTCAAATTAGCTTCAACAATTTTGCATGTGACTTTGTGCTAGGTTCGAAAATACTCGAAAAAATAATCATCAATGGGCTTGATAGTGAAATTACCTTGAATAATCTTGCTATCCCAAAGCGATGACGCATGTAGATCAGTGTGTCACAATTCGAATTGTGGTAAAGGTTGTCCTAGTAAAATGAGGTAAAACAGTGTATGGTTTGTTTAGGGTAATTAAACATAAGCACTTTTAGAAAATAAGCATCGATTTGGTCTGGTTGAGTGAAAAGGGCTTTTGTACTAGTCAAGTGAAGGCAGTGGAAAAATCAGAAAACTCGAAATCACTAGTTTGTGTTCAAGTTTCCTACTCAGAAATAAGTGCGGATAATCTCTTTCGGCGATGGTTAATTGTAGCCAGGTGTGAGGATTTGAGTTTCACAACATTAGTGGTTCAGAATACTATATGTCTTCAAGCCAGCCAAGTGGAATGGTTCGCTTTCGCAGAAGCTGTGGGGTGGGTCTTTGTTCGATTTCAGTTCAATTGTGGAAATGATGTTCTGATATGTGGGGCGATTTGGCCAAGACATTGACATTGAAATCCATTATATGGTGTTATGCTATTCTGTTCATGTCATGAAATCAACATGGGAGTTGAAATTGAATAAAAAGTAGGAAGGAAAAGAATCCTATGCTGTATTCCACAGCACCTATGGGGACAAATGGCAGCTCAGTAATCTAATTCAACTTCTTATCTTCACATTCGGTTGCATCGGGTTGCCTCATTTGCTAAGACATCACTTCTATAAGAAGCCTCTCTCTCACTTTCTTTCTAATCTATTGATTTAGAGGTGGTCCATCGTGATGCTCTTTGGCAAACTCATTACTTCTATTATTTAAGCCTTGTTATTAATTGCCAATAAAAATGCCGTAAGATACGTGATATTCGTTGCATTTTACTATAAAGCTTATATAAAAACCCATTTACATTTGACAATCATTGACATCTCTTCAATAAAGTGCAAACACCCATCGATTGGAGATTGTTTTCCAAGTTTATGTGCCAATAAAGAGATCTCACCAATATTGTGCAAGTTACAATCAATTTGGCCTGTTTTGGCAAAGTCTACCACTGATACGACAAGGCTGACATGAACCACCAATTAATAAACGAATGATGTTTGATGTACTCACTAGAGAATAGGTGCCATTTCATAGTCGGACCTTGATTCATCAGTTATCAGTTCATAAGTTTGGGAAACTGGACTCAAAGTACCCATCGATTAATTATTGTAAAGTAAAGATTGTCTGTGTTACTAAAGTCTAAGTAAAATCAATAATCTTCTTCCGTGAATGAGACGGTGGATAATTTTCATTATTTTTAATTACTGGATTGAAACAATTCCGTAATACTGAGTCAAATGAGCACGGTAAAGCAAGAAGTGCTGTTTAAAAGTGAAAGTTGGATTTGTTGCTCTGTTGGTACAACTCCCCCACATTCAAATACTGACTAGAATTTAAGCCTGTTGAGACGGTAATCAGAAGTACTTGAGTTGCGGAAAAGAGAATTGGATATGTCTATGAGTTGCAGATGTTGCAGTTGAAAGGAGAGTGAATTGAAGAATCAGGTATGAGAGAAACGAAGTAAGAATGGTTTTTGAGTGGTAGATATGAGTTCTAGTGGACTAGAATGGTTCGCCTAAAATTCTCCTCTTACAGTCTGTCAACCTTCAGTTGACTTGGATAGGTGACGTTACCTCTGGGAAGATTTGTGCAGCATTGAATAATAGTCTACTTCTGAGGTGGTTAACACTATGAACTTCAGACTGGTGTTAATAAACAAAGATCTTGCCACTTCATATTTCACGAAACTCTTGAGGATGTAAATCTGAAGTGCTCGTTTGCGATTTAAAATTGATACAGGAGATGAGATTCAGCTGGAATGGTGAAACATAGTTACTTCTAAAGGTGAGGTGGTGAGGCATGCAGTCATGGCCATGCAGTCAGTGTAATGAAAAGAAGGTGATTTGATTAAGAATTAGTTTTTTTTTAAGTTAAAGGAAAGTATAGGTGAATGTCACTGTGGAAAGGTGTTCAGCCAACTGGGTTTGGATTTGCCAAGACGCAAGGAAATCAAAAGTTTGCAATGGAATGTGAGTAGTGAAATGAGTAGTAATGAAGACTAATGAACACATGTATAGATTGTCACCACGATGCTGCCAATACGGTAGGTGATAAATGTGTATCGCTAGCGAGTATGGTCTGCGCTTGATACATTTTCAAACAATCTCAGAGGGGTGGTTGCAATTTATAACATTGCCAAACTCCAGAGTGTAATTTCATTTTACTTACGTTTGGCTAGATTCATGCGTTGACAGTTGGGGGGAGGGGTTACCGACAGACTTAACTCTACGTGGTGCACCCTGGCCTGCGTACACTCATATGTCAAAAATGTCCATAAGCGGGCATTTGACTTCAGATTTCTAACCACTAAGACTTTACACTATGTCATATTTAAGCACTCACAGTACTCATTGTACCTTTTTTCTACCTTGGTGTCCGTATGTCTGTCGGTCTGTCTCTCCTACATCTGTGAATCACTCTCCTGTCCGTCCTATTCAATTTTTCCCACTTTGATGTTTCTCCTGTCTGTGAAGCCCGAAGTCAGATAAGGGCTAACGATAATTATCAAAACACCTGCCTTTTGAAATAAATATAAAATAATAATTAAATTTGTTGACAGTGTTTGTTGATGACGGGGACTTGTATGACTTCATCATTGGCCTATCCACATAACACTAAAATACCGGTTGAAGAGAACGACAAATATCTACATCCATATTCGGACTTCTCAGATTTGGATACGGGTAAGAAGGACAGTTTTTGTTGAGTTAATATCGATTAATCGGGGAACGGTGCAACGTATGACTTGACATAAATTGAAACATTGAAAATGTTAACTTGAACTAAAATCAAATTACATGAATTGTTTAAATCTGATAAATGTGAGTAAATTATTCATTGCTATAGTTATTTGTCACTTTAAACAACAAATATTTCTTATTAAAAATTTATTTGTGATTAACTCATATCAACGTATGATGTTAAGTAATGAGTTCATGGACGATTAATTTGAAGTAGGCGTAGTCGGTTTTTAATTTTAATTTAAATAGCTATATACAATTGATAAAATGAATAACTTAGAACAAAATATTGAAATCCCTTCATCCATTATTTAGACGAAACAAATATCGGAGTGACAAGTATCTCGCTTCATCTGCTGGAGGAAACATACCTTAACTTTACTCAAGAAAGACTTTCGTGAGGTATATAATTTGTTTTTTAATAAAGACAATTCAAAACTGCATTTGGCTGAGCTTTGCGATTTAAAATTATGAATAGGTCAAATATTGATATTTTTAACCAAAATCAATGTTGTTTCATAATTT